CTGGGGTATAGACGGGTGTAAGTGTGGGGGGCTGGGGTATAGACGGGTGTAAGTGGGGGGGGGCTGGGGTATAGACGGGTGTAAGTGTGTGGGGGGCTGTGGGTAGAGGCTGGGGTATAGACGGGTGTAACATGTAGGGGAGACCTAACACTTGTTCCTATAGCTCAGTGGGTCTCACCTTCCTGATGCTGTGACCCTTTAACATAGTTCCTCATGTGGTGACATCCTACCCAGAAATTATTCTCATTGCTACTTCGTAACTGTAATGTTACTGTTATGAATTGTAACGTAAACATCCGTGTTTTCAGATGGCAACTCTGAAGGGTCATTCGACTCTCCCGAGGGTCATGACCCACAGGTTGAGACCACTGCTATGATGAGAGGTCAATGAAAAACAACAGAAAAGCATGAGCGTACTTTTAAAGATAAATATTAAGATACCCGAGAAAAAGTGAAAAGGATTGAGAAGGGCCACTTGTAGGGAGCACTAGAACTTGGTGGAAGGGATCTTCATTTGTAAACTACGGCAAGGAATTTTAATTTTAAAATTATGAAGATGTATTATTCTCGTAAGAATTAAAAGAAAGGCTTCAGGAAGAAATTGTAAGTAAAAATATCAAAATACAACATAAACATAAACATCATTTCAAGCTACCAAGAATGAATTGACAACAGAAAGGTAATGTACAATTTACCTTGGCGGTTGTATTGCTCACATTTCCTGTTCCCATCACAACTAACTCGCAGAGAAGCGTTGTTTTGGCCCAGAGTTTTGGGGAGCTCAAGTTTCCGAGTCTGTTGATCTTGGCCTGTGTTGAGGCAGAGCATCAAGCCAGTGTGAGCATGTGTCAGAGGCCGCTCAACTCGGAGCAGGAAGAGGGAGGCAGGGGCCAGGAGTCAGCTCTAACCTGCAAAGACTCAGTCCCAGGAGCCTGCTTCCTCCAGTTAAGGCCCACTTCCTGACATCACCTCCCCAACAGCACTGCCTGCTGGGGACCTACGCACTGAAAACATGAACCGGTGGGGGGAAATTCAGTCAAAAATATATTACTCTTCTCTTTCTGTGACCAAATAGACGACTGGAAACGGCCTAAGTGAGAAAGGTTTATGTTGGCTTATAGAAAAAGAAGGGATGCCATCCATCATGGGGCCGGTGAAGCCAGGCTATGGAGTCTCAAAGCCTGCTCTTAGTGACTCACTTCCTGTAGGAAGGCTCCACCTCCTAACAGTTTCATAACCTCCCAAAGCATTGCCACCAGCCGGGGACCAAGAGTTCAAACACACGAGCCTCCTGGGGACATTTTACACCGAAGCCACAGCAGTATCAGAATATTTTCCCCGAATTTGATCAATTCTGTGACAGGGACTAGGCACACCTGTAGTCCCAATTACTGGGAGAGCTGAGGCAGAAGGATCACACATTCAAGGCCTAGCTTGACTACGGAATTTCGTGACACAGTATGACATTTGAATGAGTTAACCCCCACTCTAGGATCCACTGTAAACAACACTTGATCCTAACAGGTTTGTTTTCTTTTTTTTATATTTATTTTTATTTTCAGTTATGTATGAGCAGAAGCTGGAGTGACAGGTGGTTGGAAGCTACTGGATGTGGGGGCTGGGAACTGAACTTGGGTTTTCTGCAAGAAGAGTATATGTTCTTAATCACTGAGCAATCTCTACAGCGTGTTTTTTGTTAAAAATCATTTTATATGTGTAGCTGTTTGGCCGGCATGTGTGTCTTTACCACGTGTGTACCGTGCGTGGCCACAAAGGTCAGAAGAGGGTCAGATCCCCTGGAAGTGGAGTGACAGGTGGTTGTTAGCCACCATGTGAGTGCTGGGAATGGAATCCGGGTCCTCTGGGGGGGAATCTAGCGCTTTCAACTGCATTTCAGACAAGGTCTCACACTGTAGCCCAAGCTGGCGTCCTTGCTTCAGCCTCCTAAGCCATCAGGCCACAAGGCGAGAGCCATCATTTTGGTCCTGGGTAGTGTCTTTTGTTCGTTAGTTTTGTTTTTTAAGAATCAACTTCTATCTAAAGCACCAAATACTA